AGACGACTTCGGACTAGGTGCGTTCTACATAGTCGCCCTGACAACAAGACCAAGTTGCGACAACGAGGTTGACCCTCTTCTATAAATTGTTTTACACTACTTCTACTCTGCATACAACTGCAAGTATGGCGATACCAACTCAACCGACCATTCAGCCGGGCTCCCGATACTATCAGTAACTCTTGAATAAGGGCTTTATTCATCCTAGTTCGCATCAAGCGAAGAAGGACTGAAAGTCGAATTTTTATGCGAAGAGTTTTCGTGACTCGTTAGCTTGAATTTAGTTGTAACGATAATACCTTGCTCTGATGATGGCTATCATATGACAGACGAAAGCTTAGCACCTTTTCATCGGAATCGAAGGAGATTACCTCGGAAACAACATCACCATGAATTTTCCAGTAAAGCCAATCGATAGTCGGTCAAGAGAAATCCGCCATCGTCTTCTGGTGGAATCGACCTTTGAATCTCTTCACTAAACACTTTCATTTGAGATGAAAGTAAGCTAAAAAGTTGCATTTTTACGCAAGGAAATGAGTAGGCCTTACAATACCATTGAATTCCACCAGGTCCTGAATTACGGAAGGTTTTCTCTTCCCAAGTGGACTGCAGTTTCGTCTTCGAATGGATCTTATCAGCAGCTCCATCGCCAACCCAACCCGGGTGGTGCAGTGTATGTTTTAGACACGTTACAACTACACTCCACTAATTGCAATCCAGTATGGATGAGAATAACTTTCGGGATGCAAGACTAAGTGAAAATGAATGACAGCGTGAGGCTTACTCATAACATTGTGGGAAAATTGAACCATAACTCCTTCAGGACATGTGACCTAGAGTAACTACAGCTATTATTCAAGTGTTCATGATAGTCTCTAAACTACTAACCATCAATATAAATAACGTTGTCGATTGTAGTGACATGATACAAATTTGCCTTATCCACCTAAAATGTCACATATGAGTGGTTTGAAATGTCCTGAACATCATACCTACCCTGTGATCTGTCAACAGTTATAAATGAATGGGAAGTGGAGGACAGGCTCCATGATACCTCAAAATTTATGACGCCATTCTTATTCGGGCTGATTTATGGTTTTGAATTGGTATTCGAATCATGGATGTTTAGGTCACTTCTCGTGGCAGCATACGAAAACGGTGTTTTTTTGGTAGATGCTAGGATTCATGATAGCTGTGGTCAAATAATTTTTTTTTTTAATCCAAATTTTATTGTTGGTCCGACCTCGTTTTCACAACTAGGTCGGAGCGTCATGGGAACCTTTTGGAACGTACCTAGTCCTGTGTCCTCTGCCTTTTCGGTTCAAAAGAAAATTGGTCAAGGGGATTGCCTTCACCTGTCACTTTGAGGAGTTGTAACTGCGTGCTATCGGTGACGCCTCTCACGAAAGATGCCGGCGAAACTTCTGAAAATGTACCGAGTCAATGAACCAATGCTGGAAATCACAAACACTATGGCGGGTGGCATGGAACTAGGTACGTTCCACAAGGTCTCTCTGACGCTCCGACCAAGTTGCTAAGAACAGGGTCGAACCAACACTATAAAGGTAAAGGAGACTGCGACCAAACACAATGCCACACCATCTTATTCTTCATATCTACACTTCAAATTTTAGTTGATTTTTAGGTCAATAGTTCAAATTATTTTTTTATTCGACACTTTATGTTAAGAAAGGAGCCTTTATATGTCGGATAATGCCATTGTAACGTTTTCCCCATCTCATATAGGCTTCATTAACCCGCAAGTGGGGATCGGGCCCACAACCTAATGGCTTGGAAGCTATACGTTTGCGCAAATTTGCTGTTAGTATTTTTCATTCATATTAGGGTTTCGAGACATCCCATATTGCTGTTAGTACACGCTCAGTGAAAGCAATTTACTGTGGATGAAATTTCACAGCAGCTTAGATTATCTTTGCTTTGCTAATAAAGTATGGTTGCTCGACTGGACACCTTCTGAGGACTCTCGAGTCACGGGATCTTTCAACCCCTACGCCAAATGGAAGTTTCAGGAAACGTCAATAAGTGACGCTATATTGGATGGATCGGAAGTGGGTAAAGCTAAAGCGTGCGATGGTTTCTATGTTTTTATTTTACCATTTTACAGTCCTGTATATAGTCATGTTACTTTTTCATTTCGTATGATAGAGGCCTGTTGCCGGCCTACACACAGCTCAGTTCTATTTTTTACTATTTGTTTAGGTGCCTCAGCCTTGTACCAAATTGCTCTCTTTTTTTCAGAACGTGGCATGCGGACAAGTAGGCCACACATAAAACATCCCAATTTGCGCTATTTCGAACTATCTTACATCACCATTTATTTACATTTCGCCTCCGATAGGCCTGGATAGCCTCACGCTCCGTGGTGGCCAGCAGCCATGACTTGGGCGTCGACCTCGATACGTGCTGTCTCCTTCGTGACCGATTCACCGCCTTCTGCAAAGACACAAACCAGGATGGTCGCGCACGTGTATCCGCTTTTTGCCAGCGCAGCGACCTTCTGATCGAGGCGCTGGCCAAGTCGGCGTCTGAAGGGCGTCGCCAAAGCGCCCAACGACAGAGTCATCGGGACCAACGAGGCCTGGGCACAGAGTCGCCTCTGCTGGCCGCGGACTCCTGCGACGACTTTGATGAGGAGTTCGAGTCGGGCCGACGTCAGCTTCGCCAAGTCACGGGTCCTGTGGAGCCGAAAGAAGTGCTGGACGCCTCAGCAGAAGCGGCCCTGGCCAAAGACCGTGTTAACGAGGCCTGGGCCGACCTGCTTGAGCTGATCGACACTAGGATACAGCTTCTCAAGTCGGCCTCGGACATGCACCGATTCGTCAACAGTTGCCAGGTTGGGCCTCTGTCTGGCGTTTCTTGATTAAAGCAGAGAGGCTAGTGGGTGGAATACCTTCTCAGTGTACCTACCTTCGAAAAGTTTGTTAGGCTGAGAGCAAGAAACAAATACGCCTGTCACCAGAACCAATTACTAATCGAATCTTATATAATTCTTACATTTGCAGCATATGCATAATAATAGTTCAGGTTGACCAAAACAAGAGAAAATTTGATGGGGGTTGGTGCGGAAACGAGGCTTTTGTAGCACTTTCGCATAAGTTTGGGGTCGAGTCTCCTTCTGTAACTCACCAGGGGGCTTATGTTTTGCATAATCACCGGACATTTGCTTCACACCAGCACACACATATATATATATATATATATATATGCCCGTCACTACAATCACCAAAAAACGTTAAACTAAGAAGGGCATGCCAACATCAACATACAAAGGCATTCTTTAAAACCCAGCTTCTCAGATGCTGTGTATGCGAGGGATTTGTAGTAGAGACTGGATGAGGTTGGGTGACTGGAATTCCTTTTAAGATTTACTGGGAGTTTCGGCACTTTATACAAATATAAGCAATCTAGTCAATTGTAATGGTGAGATGCAAGTTTGTCCCGTCCAAAATTCAATCATAAAAATGTGGTTTGAAAGAGGCCGGGTCTTGCTTGAAATTCACCTCCGCCTTGTGCGTCAGGGAGACTCGTGATGGTGGTAATGTGTCTAGATTAGATGCGACGCTACCTGGGCTCGAGTCCCGCCGAGAGACCATATGAGATCCAGGCGAGGTCAGAACCGCAGTCCAGCCCAGCCTGGATGAGCATACCTTTTGGAAGGCATGCCCAATTGTAATCGTCTGGAAACGTAAAGCCTAGTCATATGGTCGTGGGAAAATTCGACAATAAGTCCTTCAACACCTTATGCGACCAAGACTGACTGGTAGTTTCAAAACCTACCTTAAAGAAGGAGAAAATGAGGCTAAGGGGGGCGAGTGACTTGCAGAAGAGACGTACTTACTGAATATAGAGTTTTTAAATGTTGCCTCTACTGCTGCGTGACTGTTTGCTGGTGTGCTCCGTCACCAAATTGATGAGAACGAAGAAACGGCAACTAGGCTACTGAAACCAACATTTGGGGCATCCTAATAGGTCTCTTGCTGATTACAGTAAAGTTGTAATCATGGCATCAAAACAAGTTGACACCACATTTTATTAATAATCTCCCCTTGATATATATTGAGCCATACCAAAAAGAGTTTTGTGGAAATGAATCGTTTTTCGTACTCTTGTAAAAGTTTGACAGGTCAGAACTTGTCTCCTCTACAAAAAAGAAAAATTTTTCATTGTCAGCAAGTGAAATAAATTGCTTCTTTTTAATTTGATCCCGTCTACTTGCAAAGGCTTTTGAGACTACCAGTAGATATTAAGCCCTATTTCGTCTGAGGTGCTGAAGGACTGATGGTTGAATTTTCCTACAATGATATGATGGAAACGTCTTGCCTACTTACATCATTGTGTAAAAAGCGTGTTACCAATAGTTCATTACCTTAATCTATATAGGGTGAAAACAGCTTGAATTTGTCAACGTATTTAACTATAGTTCGTTCTCTAAAGATGCGCTATCAGCACTTCATCAGCATCCTTGCTGGGCTTTGAACCTACTGCCCATAGGTTGAGAAAGGCCACTAATGGCTGTTTATCACGGATTCCTTTTCGGCACCATTGGAGACTAAAGGAAATGTTACAAGAGTATCCCACTGCAAATATATTGGCTTTAATTTTTATGCATAAACCTGTTGCTAAGGTCTACAGTGAAGGATGTCCCGGTTGCAACAAGTGGCTCACAGCCTTCAGTCGGTGTTCTGAGCTTAGGCCTTCTAAAATCCGGGAGTAGGGTCATACGAGACAATCTCTTAGCTTTCATCAACTTGTGGGCCTTTGGATCCAATGCGATCATAATCTTATTCTCATGCAGCATATTTCTGCAGCCTCCACAGCTAAGGATACTGAAATGCAAACTATTCACCCATACATAGCTCATTGCAATCAAGGTCAGCGCCAAAACCCCTCAAATGCGACCAAATATCCACCCTTCTTACTACTGACATACTTAATCTGTGTTTAGTTGTAAGAACACTATAAAGGGCGTTAACCTGTCTGCCAAGTATTGCATTTTGCTCGCACTGCTAAACACTTTGCTGCTGAGGAGGATATAGCTAACCTCACAGAGTATACAGATATATATCGATAGAGTCTGGGCTTATTTTAGACTCAAAATACCCTGCTTTAATCAGTGTCTTGTGGTTGTGCAAGCAACCTCAGAAGTATGTGGAGCTCTTACATGGTTTCAGGACTCTTTCCATTGTTCCCTTCGAGGCAATTCCCCCCAGTTCTAGAGGATTCTAGCCAAGCCTTTGACTAGGCATCTTCTGAAAGCACGCTAGGGTTTCTATCGTTTCAGTGTGACACTCACTCATTCGAATCATATAAAACGGCGATTCTGAACAATAAAGTGATAAGAGTATATTGGTACCGAGAACCATTGAGGCAGCATCCATGGTCGCTCGTGGGAAACACAATAGATGTTCCTATACCTTACACGAGTTGCATACCTTCTGTGTGAAAAAAAGACTTTTGCACCGAAAATATCATTGAAACGAGACTCTGATTCTCAATGAATCTTAAAAGTATTGGGGACTTTCACTTGCCTTCATTGTCATGGCATTCTTTGCTATGTTCTTATGAACTCATCTTAAGCCTGGTTCAATGTATTGATTTGTAACTCTTGTTTGTTTAGGGTGATTTGTGGACTGACATCTTAATTTTTCATACAACGATCTGAGTAAGCCCAATTAAATTTTGCATAGACGTGTCCCGCAAAAGAATTTCTGATCTCGAGTGGGCTGTGGTTCCGACCTCACTTCACTATCTTATGAGCACGCCAACCGAGCTTCGAACCAGCGTCTCGAGCATCGTGGCACCACAGTATCACTCTGCTACATAGTTGTGGGTGCCATTTGGTCTTAAACGAATCTCTTCTTCATGCACTTTTATTCGAAAAGAAGGTCCCCCTAACAATGGTCTTACACAGCCTGGACGAGGCCAAAACTGAAGTATATCCTGTTTGAGAAAGCCTTTTGGTAGACAAGGCTAAATGTGTTTCAATGGCATTGTGAGAAAAGTCCTACTAGTATTCTTTAATTCACCTTAAGCTACCGAGAATGCCTTGGTTCTTATTCAAGAATATCTGATAGTTTCGAAACATAAGCGCACAAAATAGTAAATTAATTGTATTCTAGTCGGGCAGAATCTTCATTCCTGAAGGACAGTGTGGTCGGATGAAGGAAGGCCCAATTTTCGCTGAACAATTAGAGTTGTAGGCTGTATGAAGAGCGTTTATAATCTAGTAATGGGTTCGCGTAGTATGAAATGTAGCGCTTATTCTGGAAAATTCATCATTCTGCCACTAGATTCGATGGAGAACATTCGAGAAACTTCCCGTTTGTGTTGGCATTTCTTTTGTTAAACATTTTCTTGGATGGCATTGAAACAAATGCTCTCCTGAGATTGCAGTGAATGCCAGGCAAGTAAACTATGCTAAATACACAATCTATGTTTGACTGATTTATGCACACAGCACATTTTTACATATGATCAAGCTGAGAATAAAGCCAGCAAATGTTATTGGACTCATAGCAGACACAAAATATGCTTAGCTGAAGCCTTCCAGGCATAATTAGGCATTAAAATGGAAGGAAGCTTGCGTATAAAGCGCTTACCCCTATGATTTTTCCCTGTAAACACATTAGAATCTCAGGAAGCATAAGTGCTACCCAAAACCCAAAAGCTAAATAGCCAAATCTTACAACTGGCATATGCCGTATAAATCAATCTTGATTTAAAGTATTATAAAACTATGAATACTAAAAGGGAACAATTTAGATATACGGAGTACACAACTTATTGATATGTAGAAGTTTGAGCAACATTTCCAAAACGGCACATAATTTTATAAGCCATTATGAAGGTCAAAGTTAGTATCTCTTTTTGTCGGTCTCATAAGCTATATTAATCTCTCCTTCCTTATACTTCTACTGAATTTGCCTCTATTTATTAAGCCTGTTTTGTCGACGAATCATCTATTTGTTAAAAATGATCAGAATGCCAGTGGTGCTGCTAGGTCATTTATGCTAGTCACTTCGTTTAACTGGTTACAATATAATGTATACTTCCTCTAATATCCTTTCTTATAATTTGTAGGGATGCATAACGATTGACTTTCAGCCCCTTACTCAAGTTCATAAATTCATTTTGCCTCCTCCTTGTCTGCCAACGTTATAATGAGACCCTGCTCACATGCCAACGTTATGCCAGCATGCCATGCATTGATGATCATCATTTGACGCTTAACCTGCCTCTGTAACAGGCCGACAGTTCACTTATGTGCAGAGAACTGGCCTCTGTACTCACCATGTCTAAACCTCTTGAGCCTCATTTGTATGGGTTGATATTGAAGTGGCTGATGCCACAAGCCCAGTTTAACCTAATTAGCATACACGACTTTGACAAGACCAACTGTAGACAGAAAGATCCTTGCAATTAGTCCTTTCAGATCCTGCTCTCTTAGTCAAGATAATATATTGAGCCTGTTTTAGACATGAACTGACTCAGGTCGGAGACCTATTTAAAAGGGCCTTTGATGGCCCCGCCCAAACAAACTTCAGAAAAGAATGCGTCCTTCTGGCTTTCGACTTATGCCAGAAGAGGAGCACCACGAGAGCAGAACAGAGATTTCCTCTGCACGGCCGTCTGTCTTTTAAAAGCACCATTACCACGTTTGCCTGGCGTCAGA